CAAAGGACTGGTCATGGAAGTCAAGAAATCGGCATCGGTCTGACGGTCAGGGCAGAGGAAACCCATGTTGACGAAGAAGGCCTTCGCGTCGGTGGTCTTTCCGAAGAAGATTTGGCGACCCTCGTAGAGCACGAGTACCTTGTCGAAGAGGTCGTAGGCAGCCTGAGGTGCCTGGTAGATGGCGACACAGGCGGTGGTGCCGTTGATCTCAGTCTCCATGCGGAGGGTCTTGCAGAACTCGATGGCGTTGGCGGAATCAAGACCACGGGTGGAGTTGTCCCACGCTTGCAGTGGCGCTCTGCTGAGGGAGGCTTCGGCGATGGTGACACGCTTTCGCTCTCCACCAGAGACACCACGAAGGAAGTCGTTACCGACGCGAGTGTTGACGGTGTGAGAAATTCCATACAAGGCCATGATGACATCGCGCTGGTGCTCGGCGTACTGCTTTACACTGACGCCGCCTGGAATGTTCCTTGGCCGACGAGCTTGAGCAGCAAAGTAAAGAGTCTCTCCAACAGTCATCATGGGGAAATGAACATCGACTTCGGCAGTGTAGATGGCTTCACCGCGGTAGTTCTTGTTCATGAGCTCTGGGCTGACACCCTGGTAGTTGATGTGCGAGCTTGAGTCGACGACGAAACCGTGCGTCTCTCCAGTGATGGTCTTGAGGAAAGTCGAGCAACCAGATCCAGGAGGTCCAAGAACGACCAACATCTCGCCAGCCTCGACCAAACCGTCACAGTGCTGTAGGATGTCGATCTTGCGGCCCTTGTCGCCCATGATCTTCTTGACAAGCGCAGGTCCATCTAGCCACACGTTACCAACAGTCTTCTGGTAATCGGTGTCGGTTCCGAAACCGTGGACGTTGAGATCGCGGAAAGATACACCAGCCGTTCGTGTAGGGGGCGCATTTTCGTCATTCAGCTGTAGGTTGAGCATAGCCTTGGTCCATGCTCGTGCGTTGAAGTGCTCGCCATGGGGGTCCAGAGCGGAATTGGGTGCCGCGTTGAAGGGATTTTGGTTTGCTGCGGATTGTTGACTCTGCGAGGTAAGTCTGCGGGCCAATTGGTGAACCGCCTCCTCTCTCCGAGCAGCCTCGGCGATTTCGTCGGCGTCATGTGTGTTGTAGTTTCCATCCTTGCGGTCCGTGTGGTTGTTATGACTTTGTGGCGAGCCCTCGACAGCTGCTATTGTGGATGCATCTGACTCTGCTTGCTCGTTGTCATTGTAGTGGGAAGGCTGTCTGCCGCCCATCTCTGGTGGTGGAACGCCGCCGGATACAGCCTCGCGGTCCATGTTGGTTGTGAAATTGCCGACTAGACTCATGGTGGGCGAGAGATCGCCACTTGGGGGCAGAGATTAGTCAGGCGAAGGAGAAATGCAAAGAGGGACAGATATTAAAAAGGTAGTAGAGTTTGTATGGCAAGAACAACAAAGCCAGGCCGGGGGGATGAGGTAGATGATAATAAAGGTAGCAGCAGCTACTGCTAATGAGGACCCAGGCGCCGCCCCAGTAAAGGATTTGGTCCAGCGGGCGGCGGACTGACGGCTTGGCTGGCGAGCACCAGCGCGCCGGATGGCCTGCCTGCCCGTCTCCGGTTCGCTTGCATCGAGTGGGCTAGTGTCACGCCTCGGATACGGCGTGGATACGGTATCCAGAAGGTCCAACAGCCAATCACGACTAGCACACTACGGCCACGCGATTTCGACTCATTCTACATCCACCACTGTCGTTTCGCGAAGAACGGTCCGAACAAAGTTACGTCCGTCGTCGTCGATCGCCGTTCGGCCATACGGCTCTGAATGTTCTCTCTGGTAACCACAGTGGTGGAACCTGCATCGCCCACGGAGTACTGAACACTGTCCTCTGTATACAGCACCACATCCGAGCTAGTTCGTCCGACCAACGCCCGCGGCTGCCCCTAAGCCTTGGCCAAGCTCACATGCAGCCCATTTGCCCTCTGCGATAAGCGAAAGAGAAAGCGAATCCCCGCCAGACCCCTAGAGAAAAAGAAGGTCTTACAGTCGACTGTCTCAGGCAATCGAGGGCTGCATACGCCATCGCAACACTGCACGCAACCGACAGAAACAAACAACATCAACACTGTACCTCATCTTGACGTCGTGCATCTCCGTTTCCCCTGCGCATGCTTGCATACCGCGCCAATCAAACGCACCCCGGTACGCCCCTCCCAAACGAAAGAGCCCCAGACCCCTCCCCTCGCACAAGCACAGCGGACGAAAATCGCAGATCGCGAGATTCAGGGTGAAGGCAGAGTGGATCCAGCCCCCGGAGTGGTTGCGTGGCCATCTGCTCGGTGTTGGCTCTGCATCCGGTTCGACCTGCCGTTTCGTGGTGTTGTGGTGGCTTTTCAAGGTTGCCCGGGTGTTTGTGCTTGCACCATCTTTCTAGCGCGATTCGGCGGCGGATGTAGCGCCTTCCGTGGGACCGGAAGACGTTCAGCCCTACCCTGACACCTGCCATGTGCGCGGCACGGTGATGGTTCAAAAGCCTTCCGGGTCCCGTTGCTTCTCGATAATGGTTCTGGAATCTCCACTTGCTGACTGCCGCTGCTTATCGTCGTGCCGCGAGAGAGGGTCTGTGAGGTCGTTGGTCCCCGGGATACGGCGAGGATAGCGGATCTTGGCCTTTCCGCGCCGGGGCTGATCTGTTGACATATACCTCAAATGCGCGCGCGGTATGTTGTTGGTATGTATTGCTGACTGTGCGCGCTTTTTCGAGCTCGCTGTATGCCGTTTAAACGGTGTGCATCTTACGACTACTTTGTGCCGGTCAGCGTTGGCATGTTACGCCCCGGGTAATATTATGCCACTCACAGTCATCTAGGCAGTCATCAAGCCAGCGATCGAGCTACTAAACTTGCGATAGGTTCAGTCAGTACTTGGCCTCTTATCTGCAGACGCCAGATATCCCTCAACGATCTGACGATTTTCTCCCAGCGCGGCGTCAGGCAGCGATTCAACATAATCAGTGCGACTAGTCGTTGCCCATGTTGTCGCGACTTCAACAACATGGCCAAGAACGCGACACAGATGCCTATATAACGGTAGCATCCTTACTCAGGCGTCCTCCATTTTCCACCGGTCGTATGCTGTGCAGCCCGTCGAGACAGCTACCGAAGAATCGACATGGCGATGTTCTTACCCGAACCGCTGAGTGCATCTCGACAGGCAGCGAATGCAGGATCAACCCGCCGTACATATGTATCCAAGACTACCGGGACGTGAGAAACCTATATATGTCGTAGCATTCAAAGTCGGGGACATGAAGGGGTCCGGCTTACTATTGCGTCTTCCCTCCGCACAGATCCGTCGGTCCGATTGCCAACCCAGATATATCTCTAACGTTGCGGGACGGCCTGGGGTAGTGCTGATGAGCTTATCGAGACAACCGACGGCACGTCTGAGCAATGGCCATGTCATTCTTTCCAAGATTCATTATCTCATGATGACTTGAATGAAATTGAGTGTAAAACACATGCCGTGAACGTACACAGTATATCCATCCATAGATCCAAGAAATTCCAACTTACACACAATCTCCCCAACCCATTTCCCATCTCACAACTTCCCCTTCTCCATCCCCTCGCCCTTCTTCTTCTTCGCCAACGGCCTCAAAATACACTGCTGCGTCATACTAGCCACACACCTCCCCCCCTCATCCCAAACCCAACCCTCGCCATAACTCCTGCCCTCCCCCGCAACCTTACACCTCAACTCCCTCAGCAACCACCCCTCATCCAGTTTCAACTCCTCCGTATCCACAAACAGCCTTAAGGAGAAATCCAAACTAGACACCGCACTCGCATCCCCAAACCACATGTGATTGAACGACAGGGGTAAGAACGCGATGCCTAGATCCATGAGAAAGGTCAGGGATGTCATGTTATCGGTAGTAGTGGGAAGTCGTTCTCTGCTGCGGATCCAGTCCGCGGTGCTGCGCTCCGATGGCGCGAGCGTGTCTTGGGTGTGCGGTGCTGAGGCGGCGATGCCGTAGAGGTTCTGGGTGAAGACGCTGTCGGGGACGAGGCGTTGGTCGTAGAAGTGCGAGATTAGATTGAAGCCCTTTTCGTGGGCTTCCTTCAGCTTTTTGGGGACGGTGCCTTTCTCCACTAGCGCGGTGAAGGCCGCCTCCGGTGTAGGACAGTCGCGCCAGTTGGGGTGGGTGTGCGTGTGGGAGTAGGTTAGCAGCGATGTGGGCGAACTGATGATGAAATCGGCGGTTGCGAGGAGACATATTCTGCTCTCTTCTTTCTGGCCTTCCTTGGGAGTGGTCGTTTGGCTTACTTCGACTTGGCGCGTTGCAAAGGTGCGGGTTTGGCGTACTACTCGTACGCTGGCTCGGAGGGGTCGGTCGGTGTATGCTGGGCCTAAGTAGTTTCCTTGGAGGGAGTAGAGGTTGTAGCCATCCGGTACGGTGAGACAGGCTGCTTTGCAAGCCACCGCGATGGTGTAGCCGCCGTAGGCAATGTCTAATGGATTGCCCATTTTCTGTGGAAAGTTGATCATTTCGAATTCGTTTTCGCCGGTTTGGCGTAGGGCTAGTTGCTCCATGAAGGGCTTTTGTGGGGGATTGGGTTGGTTGGTCATCTTGGTTGGATCGAGAGGCTTGACGTGTGTTGGGTGTGTAAGGTGTGGCGAAAGTGTCAGATTGGTGTTTGAAGGGTTAGCAGGCAACGCTGATCTAGTGCGTTGATTTTAAGATGGCGAATCTCTAACAATAAAGCTTGTGATCGATGTATATATGTTATTGGGGATGTTGCGGCCGTTGCGGCCTTTACGGATGGAAGTCATGCCGCTAGCGTACTGCACCAATCATCTAACCTCGGCAGGACTTCCCGCTGGTAAGCAGCCCCTCACCCAGATCAAGGTATCGTTGCAAAGTGCTCTCCAGCAGCAGTGACTTGGCGTAGATAGGGAGAAAAGTCTTGAATAATATTTTGATCAGTTGATAATATACAACATGCAATCACCCTACATCACCAAATCCTCTTGGCAACCATAGCATACCGACTAACATGCCCAAAGCTTGTCCCTCTCTCCCTCTCCTCCGCCTCCTTCTTCCTACTTTTCTCATCCCTCTCCCTCAACCTCTTCAGCGTCTCAGGGTCGTCATCGTAAATCACCTTCCTCTTCTCCTCATCGACGTCTACAACGCCCCAGCCCCCAATTCTCTTACCCCCAGTCTCAACATTCATCTTTTCCCGTTCCTGCATACCGTGATACCGCTTGCGGCTTACGGATAAGAGCAGCATGCCGAGGATGAGCTTGAAAGCGAGGAAGATGAGGTAGCCGACGAGAAAGACGATGAGCATGGTGGAGCCGGCGATGAGGTCGTCGAGCGTGTAGGAGAGGGGATTGTACCAGGCTTGGGAGGGGATACCGGCGCCGAAGGAGGAGCGGCCTAGGGCCCGGCGGAAGACGTGGTCGATGTGGGCTAGTGCTGCAGTCGTTGTGGGGGAGGAGGTCGGGTCCGAAGAAAGGGATGTTGATGTCGTGTGCAGGGGAGGCGGCATGTGCATGGCGATGAACATGTGGTAGGTTTGAATGGCGGCACGGATGAAGAGACAGGATAATGGTATGACTGGCAAGCCAAGACGTCGTGTCAAGTCTGCATCAGCAAAGGCCTGTGAAGTGTTAGCTAGCAAAGTATACAAGGTTTAGACGGCTTACATTAGAATAGTAGTCCTTTGCCAGAACGTCGAAGAACTTGCTATACACCTCTGGCTTGTACTGATTGAACTTGGTAATGTACGCATGCTTCAGCCAATCGACAAACATCTCGCTACCCAACACCAGCAGGAACGGATTAAGTACCTGCGCAATATACTTTGGAAAGATAGTAAAGCTCATAGGTATGATACTCGTAGCCTTGAACGCGGTCGCAGACGCATTGGCAGATCCAGTGAACATGGCCGTCCAAGAAGTGTCGCTACTTTGGATACTCAAGCCGCCTACTTCAACAACGTTGCGCATGGCAATGATGAGAAGCATGAGCCAGAGCTGGAAGCGCTCTACGATGTCTGCACAGGTAATCTGGAATAGGTTCTCCTTTTCGAACTTCTTGAACACCGTGCCCTTGATCTCCACAAACTGATTGGACATCAGGAGCGTCAGTAGTGCGTTGGAATAGGAGTTGACGGCCACGTTCAGCGTTATCACTTGGTAGAACAGCGCTGTAGCATGGGCGACAGTGTATACCAGTGCGAGTGCGAACATTCCAAACGGACGGAGGACCTTGCTTCTGCCGTCGGGATTGCGATCTAGTGTCTCGCGGGAAAAGAGACATTCAAGCACATCTTGACCAACAGCTGAAAGCAGACGATCACAGACCTCGAGGACGTTGTAGATGACATAGAGCTTGATGGCTGACTGTCCGCGAATGCCATGGTACATGCGACTGGCATCGAAACGCATCAGAACGAAGCAGCTGGCAATGACCAGTAGACCTTTCAATATGTCTGCTTTGTGGCTTGGTTGTAGTGTAGAAGGCGTGGACTTGGTACGGCGGTGACGGAATCGGGAGTTTCGAGGCCGGCGCGCTCTGAGCTCATTCATGTCTGGGAACTTGAAAGTCGTAGACATCTGAGGGTTCTGCCTAGCTGTAGTATTGGCCGAGGGAATGGTAGAGGATGATGGCTTCCGCGACATGGACGGGGGCACTTCCTCAGCGGGTGTTGGTAAAGGCGTAGGGCCATCTGTCTGCTTCCTGCGCTGCCAAAGACGAGGAAGGCCATCGTACACAAAAGCCCAGAGATCGCGAAACTCTTTGACAATGACCGAGCCCCACCATTTGACCAAGATGGCAATGGCGAGCAGGAAGCGGAGGGGCAAGATTGTCAAGACGTGCATCCATGCGTCCAGACAAGCCAGCGCTCCAAACCCAAGTATGCCCTCGATCTTCAGCGGTATCCTCAGGAAGTTGAGCAAGCGCTCGTACTTTATCTCGGATGTTTCGTAGGGAAAGTCTGTCGTCGCGGGCCGGTATATGTACAATGGAGAGGGGCGGCTGGCAGACAGTTCCAGGGAGAGAAAGGTAGGCATGGACATTGGCGGAAGTGGGAGCGCGATTGGTGTCGGAGAGACCTGCTCACGTATCTCGCGCGTCTCTTTGTGTCGGTCGTGGCCCTTTGACGTGCCATCTCTGTGGTCCAGACTCAATGGCGGAGGGACATGCCTGCCATGCCTCCGATCTTCTGTCTCTTGTGTCTGGTTGTGTGTACGTGATCGCGACCTTGACGTGGTCCTTCGTGGGAGCGAGGGCGTGGTAACGGATCGTGAGGAAAGCACCGGGCGGCCGTTGCGCAATTCGGTTGCAGGTGTCTTGATCAGGACGACTTCCTTCTCTCGCGGCCCGTCCCGCCCTCTTGATCCCTTCTCTCTCCTCGCTTCACCATTCAGCTCCACCGGCCGCTCCAGCACGACGCCCAAGAGCTTGTTGTTGCCCTGTCCATCCCCATCTTCAAGCGGTGTGGCGTCTTCCAGCTCGTCTTCGAGAATCGGCGTGGCTGCTCGAACGGGAATGCTCGCAGGCTCGCTCGTGAGTTCCTGGATCTGGCGGGGACTGAGTTTGAGGATCTTCTCGTGCTCCGACACGCTGCTCCTCCGCCGCCCATCTCCCGGCCGCTTGATAGGCCGTATCTTCTCGCTGGTGTCGGAGAGAATGGCCTCTTCGTGCACGCTGGGCCTCCTGCTCGGCGCACTGGAGCTGATTGCGCTATTTGGCTCGGCTTTGGCGCCATTCGTCATGTTCTGTAGCGGTTCCTCGGTTTTGGCTTCATGGGCGCGGCGGCCACTCGGAAGTGCCACATCGTCCGGTTCAGGCGTTGAAGAAGGCGTGGGGAGCTGGCCCGTCGTATGCGATTCACCGTATATCCGTGTTTCTGCCCCGTTCATGGCGTGAGGGGCTGGAGTTGCTGGTTGAGGGCATCGTGTATTGCTCGTCGTGGTGCTGGGCGGCAGACGCGACGTTGTCGCTTCCTCGGTTGGCCCCGGCCACCACCAACCTCGTACCCTCCAACAACACTTTTGGGTGAAAGTGCTTCCAATGATTTCATTCTGGATCAAGGTCTATAGGAACAATGCGCCACACCTTCAATAGAGGTCATCTGTCGCTCATGATCCGAATCTCTTTCTAAGCGACCGTATTGACTTGGGCCACTTGCTTTCGCCTATGGATGACGATACCATGACAGCGAAACGGAGTATCGCCAGGATGAGAAAATTCACAGTCTGAGCAGCTCAATTCATTCGTAGCAGCGGTAGCGATTCACAGGTACCCATTGAATGTTGGTAGAAGCCAACGCTCACGGCCAGCAGGGCTCGAGATCCGCATCTCTCATACCTCTGATGGGGCAACCGCATGCAACCGCGGACCTTGAGACTGACCTGATTGGCGTTGCTTGGCTGCAGGCTGCAGGACGAAGGCCGTCAGGCTGAGATCTAACAGGCCTTACGCAGCGGACACCATCACCACAGGCACCCCATCGTTGATGCTTGACTTGTGCTACAACGGCGATGCTCTGGGCCATACGACGCAAACGGCAACTTTAGGGTAACACGACGATTGCACGCACGCTCACAACATCCACGGCTCTGTTGAGTTGCGTAGCGTGCCAGGTGCGTTGCAAGGCTGCCACACCCAGGCCCGCAAGCTCTTACTTAGACCACCTCGCTGATATCTCAGTGCTAGGCTACAGAGATTTCCTCAGTCGTGTGCTGGCCACTGAGTACGCACCCTTGAACTCGTTCGCCAAGCAGCGCGAGTCACAAATACCCAACCCGAACGCCCATCAACCACCAGGCTGCCGGCTGCTCGACACATTCCCTTGATACACCTACTCTGGCGGGTCGAGGGAAATGTACTACTATTTTACAGTTCCTAGTTCTCTCTGAAACTACGCTTACATCACAATCGAATTGGCCCCTGTTCGGCGCGAGTGGCCTAAACGAATACGCAGGCGCCCCGATGCGCCTCTTGGAACGCCCATTGAACGGGGACTTCAAGCTAGTCTCTTTCAACGATGGAAACCCTCCCCCGTATGCCATCCTATCACACACCTGGATCGAGGATCAAGAGGTTACATACAAGGAGCTACAGGAAGGCACCGGCCAGGAAAAGAGTGGCTACGACAAGATCCGTTTCTGTGGTGGACGGGCAGCATCGGATGGCCTCCAATACTTCTGGATCGATACCTGCTGCATTGACAAGTCTGATAGTGTTGAGCTCAGTACAGCCATCAACTCTATGTTCCGTTGGTACCAGCGTGCATCCAAGTGTTACGTATACCTAACAGATGTTGTTGTACCAGACGAGGTTGCCGACGCTGAGGCCTTCCCAATAACCTGGGCGGAAGCTTTTCGATGCAGCCGATGGTTTACCCGGGGCTGGACGTTGCAAGAGCTGCTGGCGCCGCCGTGCGTTGAGTTCTTTTCCAAGAACGGAAAGCGATTAGGTAGCAAGATATCGTTGGAGCAGGAAATCTATAAGATTACTAATATTGCACCTGAAGCCCTACGAGGCCGAAGTCTAACTGAGTTCAGCATTATGGAGCGTATAAGCTGGGCAGCCGCACGCACAACAACATTGAAGGAAGATAAAGTATACTGTTTGCTTGGCATTTTTGGCGTATTCTTGCCGCTTATATACGGAGAAGGGGAGGGATATGCGACTCTACGGTTAAAAGAAGAAATAGCAAAGCGGCTGAGAGGTCAGGGAACGGGAAAACGCCTTGATCTGTTCGGTATGTATCATGAGCACAACAGTGCTTCCTGTATAGACTCTACGCAGCTAATAGTATAGATGCATGGTGTTCCGCGTGGCCTTCTCCAGGGTACGAGCTATCGGTCGGAGGGCTAAATCAAAGCCTTGAAGACAGTCGAAAGCGGCAACGACAGGAACTCACGATAGAACAACGCAAAAGGTCTTGTCATCAGTTGCAGCAGAACATCTCGCCGCAAGTACTTCTGGAAAATCCGATCATCTTATTTGACGGGTTCGACAAATGTTTCGCCTTCAGTCTCAACTGGATTTCCTCATCGAGTGTATGTCACTTCCTTAGATATGTTTTGAGCCCTCTCAATCACTGACAACTGGTAGTTCTTCCGTGAAGTCATGGCAAGGAAAGCATTTGAAGTACTAGAAGACAGGTTCAAAGAAAAGGGACATGCCAAGATATGGGAAGGCGAGTTCCTGCTTCAAGATCAGTCTCGGCAAAATATAGATCTGCGCCGGCCTTGGAAGTTTATTATGAAACCTGGTGAACAGAGATATATGAGCATCAAATTTCGTGACGACATGACAATGCGCACGAGTTGTCCACATTGTGGGACAGAGAACAAGGGCTTAGAGGATCAGCCTACATTTTGGCGAGTTGCCCAAGATCTGGAACATATCATTTGGCTAATGAAAAGTAGTCAAAGCTGCCAAGTGACCTACCAGCGATTCGTTGAACTCGACGAAAGGGACACCGCGAAAGACGGGGCACCGAAGAGTCTACCGAGGCATGATGTCACAGAAGAAGAACTCAAGTATTGCTTTCGCCGAATCATCCTTATGGCAACATCTTCTCGGGTTCGGGAAATGCCGGTATGGCGCTGGCAATGTTGCCAATGCTTTGGCTCAAACAGTGTGAAAACAGCTCCAGGTTGCGAATCTTGCAGCCATCATTTGAGATGTTCCAGTTGCGTAGTTTGGGACGAAGCTCAGCGCGCGTTCTTGGAAGGCCGTACCTGACACCCGCTGAGTCGACGAAGGAGATATCGGCGGCCATGGTGTAAGTCTTGGAAGCATCAAAGACAATAAGCCTCTGTCACACTATACGTTTCTTGAGGTTTAACCTGATTGAATGTGCGATTCATTATTTTAGTTCATATCTACTTAATCTACTAGTAATGCGATAACGCAGAGCGAAGACGAGCTACGAGCCACTCACAACTCCCGCAATATACCCCCATCCTATTCGCAATGGTGTTCCACAAATGAGAGAGATGGCAATCATCAGACGCTGAAGAAGCTCGGCAGTAGCATCCGGATGCTATGGCTTGTGTCTGCTCTCGCATTACGAAGGATACGTCTTTACGCTGCCAGCACAAGCATACACACACACCAGATATCCTCGCGGCTCCAGTGGCTACGATTTTAGGAGTCGACAACACACTTGGCTCCAAGAGGAGGCAGAGGGTCTAATCTGCCGCTACTGCGGGCAAGCTCTCATCACTGTAGGCTAGCTAAAGAGCATATCTTTACTTCAAAACTGTTAGACTGGTATGATTATACCTACTGAAAATACTGTAAACACTAGTATAACCTATGTTACGTATGCAACATCTACCTGCGCCCTTTTAAGGCCAAGGCTGATCTCAAAGGCCGCGAACGCTTAAGCGCTCAACTTTTGTTATAGCAGCGGAATTAAAGCGTCATAAGGGAGGGATGCACTAGCAGCGCGTCGGGGGTGACGTGATACCCATTGCACCATTCTCGGCTGCTCAACATGTCATAAAACCTTTCGCGCACTATATCAACCGACATGCAAATCGATGCCGTAGACGGATTGGAAAGGAGAGAGTGAAAGAGCGTGCAGAACCCGAAGTCCAGGAGGAACGAAGCAAGTAATGTGATATACCAGCTTCTTTGAGAAGAGCAATAACACATTCCACTCTGTTATCCATTAGACAGCATAACAATTGAACAACATAATCCAGAGAGAGCGCATATGAAGAGTAGGAATATGGGTATTTAACGTTTCGCGCACAATTATCGAATACAACATCCATCCCCAGCATAACCTCCACTCATAAGATCTCATAGCGGCGACAGCGGCGGCGGCACATAGCGTCGCCCATAGCCCATGCATTCAGCATCCCGACGTCTCTATACCCACACATTCAAATGTACAACAGCGCGACCTTTCTCTTCAGGAAGGGGAAAAAGTCGACGCCTCATCTGCCCCTGCTCTTCTCTCGCCTTCCTCAATCTATATCCTAGTCTCGTTCTTCGTTCGTTGTGCTTACGGGGCAACAGTTAGCCCATGTGTCCCGCGGTCTCTCCGATGAAAAATAACAAATGCCTACAACGCCCGTTTCGCGCACACCTCTTTTTTCTCAGGGTGGTGGAACTATGCAACTTCGATGCGGTCGGGTAAGGAGAGGAAGCGATGATCATGATGTTCCAGGCGTCATCGCTGATGATGTAGGAGGGACTGGCATGTATGAAGTCCAAGACAACACGCCAGAAAACGCCAGGCAGGAGAAGAAATCGGCCTCGGGAAAAAAAAGTCTCCTGGGAAGACATCATCTACGGCAAGGGAACTCGTTGGAAGAAAGGGCGTTTTGTATGGGCGTGACGTGAAAGAGGGCGGGGCAGGCGGGAAAAGGTGAAGAAAGAGAGCAGAAATCTCAAGTATTGCTGATGATGACTCTGGCGCCTTCTTTACCCAGCACACCCCTCTCTTTCGCCTTGGGACTCCTGTCCCGGCCCTTTTTGCGACTGAGGAAGCCGAGCATTCCGGAGGGTTTCTCAGCTTGGGCATCTTTCTGTACGAGGGCGGAACTTTGGTTAGCCATCTCAGTCCAAGAACCAGTCTCGTTGAGAACTACCTGTACGCCTCCGCTGGTGCTGATGCTGCGTTGCGAGCCTCGCTGGCGGTTGTTCATCGGGCGGGAGAAGGAGGGAGTGGGGACTTCGGAGCCGTCGTTGGGGAAGTAGTCGACGTGCTCGCCGCGTTGCGAGGTGGGTGAGCCGGTGTTGGCGGTCTGGTTCAGTATGTTGGTTGCGAGGGGAGGGCTGCCGTTGGGAGATTGCGTCGATCGGCCAGTAGCGGCGGAGCGTGTGGGATGGAGTTCTGCGTCTTGGGGATTGTTCGCAACTGGGCGACCCCAGGGATCTACGGACGGTGTGGGAGGTTGGTCTGGTGCGCTTTGGTTGCTCGTCCTTGAGCCGCCGACAGAATCTTGGGGATCTACGACTGCGACGGCGGCAGGCGTTCGTTGGTCACCAGCGGTGGTGTAGTTGAAAGGCTCGAAGAGGGTCTCAATCATCCTGTGCAGCTCTTCAGCCCTGATCTCCTGCTCGGTGGCATCGTCCTTGAGCGCCTCTCTAGGCTTCTGTCTCCGCGCTCTTGCCTCAAGCGGTGCTTCTTCCAACAACAGCTCCTCCAGATCGTAGGTGGCATCGAAGTTGGTCTTGTCGCTCGACGGTATGAAGACGGGCGGGATCTCTTTGCGCTCTAACGCGATGAAATCGATGGGACGGAAGAAGGGGTTGTCAGTGAAGGACTCGAATCCGATGGCGCCTATGCGCTTTGACCTGTTCTTCTCCAAAAGCGAGCTGATGGCATGTAGACAGGGCATGGATACGGGCGGACTGGTAACGGGGTATGTGGGCTCTCCCTTGGAGATCTTGGCGGCGAGAGAGTCGTGGCTGCTAGCCTCGAAGGGTCGCTTGTTGTAGATGCACTCGTAGAAGAGCACGCCCAGTGACCACCAGTCGACCTCGCACGAGTATCCTTTGCCTTCGTAGACCTCGGGCGCGAGATAGGCGAGCGTGCCGGACTTGCTCGTCAGCGGCTTGGTGGGGACAAAGTCGGAAGCGACGTTCTGGGGATGTTAATGATGGCTGGAGACATGATGAGGACCGAGCTTACGAAATCTGCCAGATGGACATGACCTTCGGAATCCAGCAGCACGTTGTCTGGCTTGATATCCCTGTGTACGATGCCCTGCTGGTGGATGTAGCGCACAGCGCAGCCTAGCTGGGCTATCCAGAAGCGCACAGCCTCCTCTGTGAATGTCTTTCGCGAGATGTGGAAGCGCAGGTCACCGCCATTCATTAGATCGACCACGATATATCTGCCCTTGTCAGCCGCGTGCTAACTCATCGCTGGGGGGTATGACGTACAGGTATTCGATGTCCTGGAAACTGTAGCGCAAGTTGCAGAGGAAGGGGTGGTTCAGGTGCTCAAGCATGCGCCGCTCGCGGATGATGTTGCGGACGCTTTCCGAGCGTACGACTGTGACACGACGTCAGCTCGAGTAGGGCTGGGAGGATGCACAGGGCATGGAGACGAACCTTCATCTTTGCGTATGTACTTGAGCGCAAAGGTGAGACCCGTGTCTTTGCGCTCGACAATGCGCACCTTGCCGAATGCGCCCTTGCCAACGACTCGCAGCAGCCGGAAGTGGTTGAGGTTTACTGATCGTGTTAGTCTTGGTGGCCCATGATTGCTCTTCGACGCCCTTCTCTTCAGCCAGATAATGGCACGCACCTTGGTCGGTAAAGACGACGGGCTTGCCGTTGCTCTGACCCATTGGATGCTTCTATGGCAGACTGCCTGGAGAGTGGAATGCGTGTCTAGTAATGCATCAGGCGACTGGGAAAGCTGGCCGGGGGGATCGGGTGGGGACGGGGCCGTGGTTGCGGGCGGCGGTGGGCAGGAGGGCAGGCTTGGGCGAGCGGGTAGTCGGGGATTATTAAGGCAGAAGCAACAGGTCGAGGGCTCGTGATGGCAGTGAGCAGCACGTCGAAAGGAGGGCCCGACAGGATTGAAGAGGCACGTTTCGCAGGCGTGGCCCTTAGCGTCGGCAGGAACTAGCATGGGTAACACGTTTGAGTCGCATCCTTGCTTTCACACGAGTGGCTATCAAAGGCGACCGAACCCCCCCAGAGCTAAGCGTCGACGCTCCCTAGAGTCATGGCGTGCCAGCCACACCACAACGCCTGGCCGCACGATAATCGAGCGCCATGGCATGTCTAGATTTAGGGCTGGCCTCATTGGGGTACAGCTGCAGCACGCAACAATCCCC